CGGTTCTAGTCCGATCACCTGATGTATTTGCATTGGTGACGTTACTGTTCGGTTAGGTTAGGTTTGAAGATAAATATGCATTAGTTACGTTACTGTATAGTTATTAGATAGATTTATGACAGACTGGAGTTTCTGTAATGCCCTGGCTGATATGTATTCAAAAAGCATGCTTCATTATATTCTCGGCGCCCAACATATACATATGAAAATGATCAGCATTATCACCTCTATAACATACTATAAATTCAAGGTCATCGTGATATAATTTTTTTCAGACATTTCCTGGCGATTTTAGGAATTATATGCATTTCCTAGGAATTGTATACAATGACGGATTTTATATATTTACGGTAACATATACATAAATAAAATTGAAAAGTCCGTTTGTCTGTTTGTTTGCCTAAAGGCTGAAGGGGCTAATCTTCAAAACGGCTGAACCAATATCAATGGGACTTCACATACATGAGCAGAAAGTTGTCACTTTCTTTAAATGTCTTTTAACTATGGAAATTACAATTGGGATTAACATTGCATAACAATAATACAAACACACAAAAACAAAATTCCATCTGGGGTCTATCTATGTCTATTGTATGTTTTTGAAGAAGCTGAATCCAATTCCACGGTCAGTTTAATTCCAGTACGTCAGGGTTCGGACATAACTTCAAAAAAACATTTCAAAATCAACTAAAATCTTTAAAAAAATAATTCGGCCTAGGAGTCTGACTATATAACCCGTATGTATTTGGGGTCGCTGCGCCGCGGTCAATTTAACCCCAGCACGTTAGAGGTTGAACATAACCTCGAGAAACACTCCAAAATTCACTAAGACCGTCAATCACGATAATCTCAAACCTCAAACCCGTAACCAATCAACTCTTTTGGTAAATGTATAATTTCGTAATTTATTAAACCCTTAATCCTAATAGCTTATAATTTTTGCCACATCGAAATAATAGAACTATATTTTCTTTATTTATATTTACACGATCTTCGAATGAAGAAGAAAGTTTCGAAAAGGACCTCTGTGTGTGCGTGCGTGTTTGGTTTGATAATAAGAAATTAATTTTATAAAACTGTTTTTACTCCTATGACAGTCATTCTAAGTCTTTCAAAATCCGTTAAAACTGAGACATTTAGTATACGTGTATTTTTTGGAATGCAATATTATCAAAAAATTGGATTTATACCCGAACTTCTTTAGGCTGAGAGTTATTCAACATTTGTCACCCCTAAAAAGTATTCAAAATCTTCTATAGGTAATCGTGTTTCATTTCTTCTCAGTAGCTAACTTATGAGATTTCATAATTCAGTAATTCTAGACAGTGAAAATAAACATATCATATTTTTTTTGTGAAAATTTCTGTTGTGTATTATAATGAAATAATTAACACATGTTACAGACAAAACGGATCACAAGAAAAGAAGAAAGCAAAAGCGAAGGCGAAAAAGAATACGGAAGACTAAATCAAAATGTTATGACAACGCGACAAGCCTAAGTCATGTTAACAATAGTGGTTTACCGATGTTTAAAAATCCTTATATCACCAATGAGGAATCAAATTTCATAACTGAAGATATCCACTGCATTTCAAAATTTGGAAAGTATTTCGAAAGAAGAGGAAAGTTATATTCTTATACAATTTGGCGAACTCAAATTAGAAACGAAATTTTTTGGAGTGTGCAAGGATACGGTGCAAATGATGAGGAGACAATATGGATAACAACACAACACCTAGGGAATCAGCAAAGTCACAATCAATATCAACAAGAAATAATATTAAAGCATCCAAAAGAAAACATCGCCATATCATATTCATCAAGTTGCAGGGGAGAAAATGACCAAATTAAGATTTCTAAATATTTAATTAATCATTTTAAAAATAATGATAACACGTTTTACTTTCAATTTAGGATTGTGTATTAAATACATTTTATAAATGAAGAGGATTATGTATAAATACCTTAAATTTGGTACTTACGTTGATTTGGGCCAAAATTAGAAAAACAGAATAAATGAGTTTTATAAATACATTTCTCAAAACGTATTTAATACGGATATTTATTTTGTACATATTTGCTCACACTTACTCAGTGAGTGAGTTCATCAGCCCAGAGCCATTTTGCATGGAGCTAATAACGTGCGTTTGGTTGACCGAGCAACGAAGTGGAAACTCGCTGCGTTACCAATATAACTGTAACCTTATTTTTTCTCAGCCAGGATTTTTTTTGTGTACTTTTTCAACGGCATATTTGGTAAACTCAGTGTAATGAACAGAAGAAGTCTAGTTGCATTGTCATAATCTATGTATATTATACTTCATTTACTTTCTCTAGCGATAAGCCCCTTCCAATGTCTTGGATGCGCTGACAAAATCGTAGGTAGGGAAACAAGCTCAATATACTCTAGACTCTTGTTCATTAAACATACTTTTTCATACAGTACCTGCCAAAAGTTTTGTTCAATCATGAACAGTAGTGCGAGTCGAAAACAAACGTTAAAGCCTTTAATATGTCTTCAATTATAAATAAACATCTTGTTGATATTTTCAGTAGTAACTGGTACCAATAACAGCACATTTGAGCAATGCAATTGTAGTGGATAAAATAGTCAACTTTTCCGTTCAGTTCTGTACGGATTATACGCTCCTCAGCGGTTAAGAGTTTGGCCAAGAGTTGTCTCCTTTCTTTTCTGGCCTAGTGCTGTTTTCTTCTACTTTGCGCCTGTCAAACTAAAGGTCACATTACTAGAGAAACTAAACGAAGTATAACTGAAGAGTAACTAAACGAAAACGGAACGTAGCATCTTTTTTTGAAAACCGACGGAACGCCTCATATAAATACACTCATAAAATCAATGGTCAGCCGGCTCGTGTGTTCCAAATGTGCCGCCGGAGAGTCACGCTGATGCCGCGCGATTTAAGAACCTTTTCACACGGGCGACTAGTGGCGCACCTGTGGCTGCCACTGCTTCAAGATAATTCACACGTATTCAGTTAAGAAGTGTGCCCGAAAAGTGAATATGCGCTCAAAAGAGGAAGCACTTCTACTCTGATACATCGGCGAAGGAAAACGCAAAAAATTAAAAAAAGGAATTATTGGGTCCATCCTATTGTTAACGAATGATTTCAAAAAGGACTGTATTGCGTTTTGTACAGTGATAAGTGTAACTATAACAAGTGCTTTCAACTTTTAAGAATGTCGAATGGTTCGTTTGAAGAGCTATTGTCTATTCTGGGCATTAGTCTTTCACGACAAGATACGAATATGCGAAAACGTATTCCACCAGAAGAAAAGAAAAGCTAGTCATCACATTAAGGTAAGTCTTATTGTTACATTGTAAAAATAATAGGCTACAATTTTATTAAATGAAAATATTTTATTTATATTTATTCATCGTTGTATTTACTGTAACAAAAGGACATAAAACGAAATATAATCCCAACAACGTTTATGTAAAACAATTTGTATTGTATATGGAAATTGAAAGTATACGAGTAAAATATAATATGTAAACTTAAATAAAACGAAACACACTATTCGTTCAGAAAATCTACGAAAGATTCTGGGGTACTGAATTTAATTGGGAATATGATGGAGAATGCGTTGAGCAATGAGAAGGGGTGTTATATTGTCTTATCGTACGCTGTACATCAGACGCTTGTAATAACCAATTCTGTGATTGGTGGTTCTCATTATTTGGATAGTGAACTGGTGGATGACTATGCCAGAGTAAGGTGTAACATGTAGGTTGGGTTCTATTTTCTGAATAACTCCTCTAGGACCCCATACGATTGCTATATCGTGCTTTTGCTTGAAAACATTTAGTTAATCTCCCTTCACTTCAAGTTTCAAATGTTCAGGAACTTTGTTTAATTCCGAGATCAGTGACATCAGAAATATTTTATCTTCAACATCATTGTCAGACAATTTTCTTGGTCAAATATTTGATAAACTGATCATCCTCTTCATGTATTGGGAGTTTTTTGTTACCTAAGCGTTTTAACGTTGACGGTTTCTCATTAAGCACCTCAGTTTCCCGTCTTCCTTGCACAGCGTCAATTCTTTCTGTTCTTTTGACATTCGTTGTTCTCAGTTTTGTTGTACCTGGTAGGAAAGTACATGCAAAATTTGTTCCACGAAACCCAGACTCGTCGACCGGTATGTTTACCTACCTACTTCCCTTATCAACCCGTCCGACAAGTTTCACCGTTACCAACAACAACCCCTACATGAGGCATATTTCGAAAACTAAATTTTATTCAATTCTTTTAATATTTTTCTTTTTTTCATNTTATTTACTGAAGTCAGACTTTTTTGAAACAAACTCTCATGAGATTAGTTCTAAAATTTTACAGTTTCATACAAAATCATTTTTGGTTTATTTCAATGGCCGTTAAGGTTTAAGTAACCATGTTTATTATTTGAACCAAATTGCCAAATATGTGTAGTAACTACATATGTAATTGAACAGACAAAATCAGATGAATTATTTATATGTGTAATTGTAATTCCATTCGCCGCATGCAATTACGCCGAGTAATTGAGTGAACTAAATGTTCTTTCTTAGCCCGGAATTTTTTTAACAGTGTAGGAACAGATCCAGGAACAATTCTTGGTAGGGAAAAATTAAGTTTTAAGCTTCTGGAATGAGCTCTATTAATAAATCGCGTTTTTCAAAATGTAATACTTTCAGGTACAAACTTGAGTTCAAGTTGAGTTTTCTTCATCATTATTTTAAGCTTTTTATATATTTAAGGGAAAATCTAGTCCGATTTTTCCCATTCAACATTTTTAACACTACTAAGTTGTAGAGCTCTTTGAAGAGAAAATTTCCCTAATAATCCCTTCCCCTTGGATTCGCCACTGCCTAAACTGGAATGTCACATAGTAAAAACCAGAAAAGTAGGGTTCTTAGAAAGTTTTAGCCTAAATTGAGTACTTTTTAAAATTATGGTGAATTGAATCGCACATTTCGGTATAAAATCTAAACAACTTACAGTGGAAAATATATTCACTTCACAGATAATTGAAGACACCACAACATAGTTTATGAATCTACCACTCCTCACAATGGAAAATAACTGTTTCTCCTTTAACTTGTAACAAATCAGAGTATTATTTGCATATTTAATGAGTATTTAGAAGATAATAAAACTATTGTTCTGAATCAACATAAGTAATCTGCCTTAGCTGTCGGTCGTAAATAACGTCTATGTGATTTTTTTAAAATATTTGTATATATACCTTTTTTCTTTTATCAGTTTTATTTGATGTTAGGTAAATGATTTATTTCCACTCTTCTTTGTTAAAAGAAGAATTTAGTAGTCAAATATTTGAACAGTGCAAAACATTATTTATTATGTATAAAATATTTCTACTTATTTATAACTAAACTAGTAGTTCGCTGTACGCGCTGTCGAGCTCACTCAATGCCGTACAATTCTGCTATTCTTTATAAAGTGTTTCAAATTAAACAAATTTGATTTCCTAAAGATAAAAAAATAATTAGACGTATTCGCTTTCATCCCTCTACATGTTCATAAACTATTTGCTTAAAATGATCCGAAGAACAATATATTTCAAATCTAAGGTAAAAACATACGTATACAAAAAACTTGCGCCTAGTTAGGATTATGTAAATTATGTCTATAAGCCATGACATACTTTAAAATTTACCCCAGACAAAAATTTTATTTTAAAAATTTATTTTCAAGGTAAAGGTACAGCTTATGTTGCTACCCGAGCGGCATGGCCTAGAGGTCTAGACCATAGCTTAGCATTCGGGAGGACGCCGGTTCGATTCAGGGTCCGTCTGCCTTGGTCTAAGTTTTTCTGTGGTTTCCGTAGATCACTTGGGCAAATGTTGGAGCAGTAATATTCCATAGATTTTCAGATTTTCTTCTGTCTTCATTTCGTCCGTCTCATCTTTCTCACCCGAACCACCACCCACCCATTCCCACGTTTCCTGAAAGCAGGCTAAAGGGGGCCTTCCGCCCTACCTTCCGGCATAGTCCGGAGGGACTGCTCGCCCACCAGCATTACTGGCTGGTGGGAATGAAACACCCAAAAGTTTTTTTTTTGTTGCTATCCGTATATAAGTTGCTTTAGAGCGTTAATGTGCTCAGCAACCCAACATAGTAAATTCATACCCTAATATGATAATATTAGTAATCTTTTGCAATTTATTTAAAGACGCCGTGCGCAGTTTATAATGCAATTTATTGAATTGCATGAAATTACAGTAACGTTTCTGATTGTCGTGAAATCACGAGCAGTATATTGTCAAAATGTTGGTTTCAATTACAACTACAGGCACAACGAAGAAATTATAAATTAAAAACGCAAGTTAACAAGAAAAAGGACAAAACGTAACTAACGCTAAAATATGTAACGAATCAAAAATTGTTCTGGTGCCACCATCTATACCTGGTATGTAACAGGAGAATACGAGCCAAAAACCAATAAGGGGAAACCCAACAAGGTATGACTCTGCCTTGAGCTATGAAATTCCTGTAACCTTTGCAAAAGAACATTCAAGAGATATTTGACTACCCTGTATGCATTTGAAATAATGAAATTTCCAATATAATAAAATAAAATAGGTTGAATAGTAATAAGCAAACCTATTTCTAAACGTCTAAAAATATATATTAATATTAAACTAAAACATTATCGTTTAAGCAGATATTTGATTGTTAGGCTCTGCAGGTTATTACATGTGATTTATTGAATGTTTTAGTAAAGTAGGACAACCACTTACCAAGTGTCTGAAGCTCTTAGTCTTTTGGGCTAGTCACCAACATAATTAATTTGATGTTTTAAAAAGTATTCTTTGTAGTGTACTAATCCTTCAATACCCTAGCTATTCTGCAGGACAGGGGTCCATAAGTAATTTTAGATGGGTTCGGTCCATTTTCTGACCTTTCGCGGTCCGAACCTGGACTGCAGTTTACATTCTCTCAACAATGTACTGAACCACGATGATTTGGATAGTTTGCTTCAAAATTAGTCAAGCCAATTATAATATCAAAAAATATGTATATTTATTGATTATCTCTGAAAATAGGAAAAACAATGACCTCAAAATTGAAGAGCCTCTCCATGGGCTGAATATAATATGAATCATTATTGTCACGCAGTGAAGTTTTAAGGAAACTCAAAAAACCATTTTAGACTTTAAAACATTTCAAAATTAATTAAATATTTCATAATTATAACGTTGCTATTCTTTCCAAATTCATAAAACGGATATCGAATTCATTTACTTGTAAGATAAGCGTATTTGGCATTCCGCAGCAACGGAGCGAAAAGAATTATCAAGTACAAGCAGAAATTGACGCTAATTCGATAGTTCTGATTATTGTGAAAATTATTGAACTTCACGATGTCATCGAAAAGGACTTCGTCAGTTTTTTCGTTAAATTAGCTAAACCAAAGAAACTTCTAGAACCAAT